CTGCCATCAACGATTTTTGAGCATTATGTTTGCTTCTTTTTTTTGCATAGGATTTTTTTTTATTGGTAGAAGAATTTTTGTACGAAGCGCTACCTATAAACAAATGTTTTAATAAGTTTTTTCAAGTGGTATATTTGTTTTGTAAAAAATGACAAATAGAGTTAATTAAATAGAATAAAATGGATAGGAATATTGCCTATTGAGGACTGGACAAGGCACTCAAAGAATTTGAAAAGAAATAGAACGATATAAAAATAGGAATCAATGGCTAATTTACGTAAATGCTATCAGTCAAATGGAAACAATTTATGTATATTATAAATACATTTTAGATACATGAGAAGAAACGCAAAATAAGAAATAAATAGTTTATCTTTTAAAACTATCGAAGTTTTTTACTTTTAGATATTAAAACTAGTTAACAAATTGAAAAAATTAAGTTACTTAGAACACACTAACTTGCACAATGCGACCCACGTCAAAATGATAGAAAAACAGCCGCGGAAAGTTATTAATTTCATATAGGCAGTGGTGAAAAGAATAATATATACTAAAATACAGACTACTATCAAGCTGTAGTACTAAGTAATTGAATAACAATTTAGGCAATATTTTAGCAAGTAAAATAATCGAGTTAGAAATGTTCTCCCAATGCACTTATGAATCTATCACAGTTATAAGTTCTCGCTTTTGTACACATTCTATTCCTTGTACGAAGAAGAATTCACTGGTTCGATTACGGGTTATATAATTAATTTAAATTATATATGTTCGTGCACCTTTCAGAACCTTTAGTACACACGTCGTTTTACTGAAATGAAAACAATTGATAGCACGAAGCGTCAGTTAGCCATACGCTGATGGATATAGCCTGGAAGATTTAGTTTCGGAGTATATACGTGTTTAAGAGACAGATAAACAGCAGGTAGTAAATTAAAAATGAAGAAAAACAGTTGACAAATTGAAAAAAAGAATAGAAAAGGAAAAAACGATTCTTACCACATGAAGAACTTGCAGTGTTGTTTGGAAGGGCTTCGTTTAAGTCAAGTTTAGGTTGGTCAAAGTCTAGCAAATTTTCATGATGGTCCACGTTATTCAGTTCTTCTGAAATAGATATACTGACTCTTCTTTCGTTATTAGAAGCCTCATCATTTTCTATATACACTTGAAAGTGCTCAAATGTTTCTTCGTTAACTTGATTTTCATTTTCATCTCCAACATTAGGGCTATGCTCATAATTAATAAAAATTTCATTATCTAATTCTACATTCGATTTTTCATCAGTCAGAACGGTATCAACTTTGGTCAAGCCTGCGGGTTCTATTGTAAAATACAATCATATTATTATGTAATAAAAATAATTAATACCATATAATGACATATGTCAATTCAATCGACAGTCCTAATTAAAACTAACACGTTTCTGATTTACGAACACTAGCATATTTAGACTTTTTGAATTAAAAATATTTCATATTCTATCGAAAAGAATAGATTTTAATTAGTTTTTTCCATGAAGAAAATAGAAAGAAATTTTTCCCGCTGATAGTTGAATCGTTACTTTTTCAGTGAAAATTTAAATCAATTAGTTTTCGTAATTCCTTTGAAACTTGTTTATTTTTGTAAAAATCATTATAGCGGCCTTTATTATCTAACACATGGATATTGGCTATGCAGTAAGGGATTTTCATAAAATTATCCTTGACAATCATTTCGATCGAAATCGTATAATAATCAAATAACAAGAAAGAAGATAAAAATTTTATTTAGGATAAAAATATACAAATTCTTACTACACTTTAACTATTTGTATTGCGTATTTCAAAATAGTACTACCAATTATGGCAACTAAGATAGTAGCTTCTATGGCAAAGGTTATATGCAGCCAAAGGATGTCATTTTTTTATTACTTAATCTACAGCTTAATGTAAGATCTGAACCTCTAAAGTAACAGTGTCTGTTTTTTATTAAATGGATCAAGCACAAGTCTACGTGTATATAGATCCAACCAAACAACTCAAATGTAATGTAGGATCTAGACATTTGAAGTTATAACTATAAATTGGCAATACAAAAGCTTTCGTAAGAAAATGTAAGTGTACGTGTATGGAGCGACTTACTGTCGCATTGATATGCACTCTGCGCTTATGCAAGTAGGTTCCTTTTTCGCGATCGTTATTGCAACGCCGCATTATTTCGTATCTCGAAATAACGTGCTTTAATTTTATTTTTATTATCAATAACTCCTTTTGTTTGAAACACCACGGCCCTAACTAAATTCCTAACAATATGTTTTGTTTAAAAACAGTAAGATGTGATAATACATACCTTCACTAAGTAGATTAGTTTGGTAGAAAGTACAATTATCTTCAGTATCTAACTGATATATATTTACGGTATCTTTAACCTCTATCGGTATTGATGAAATATCAAATGATTTAGACTGAATCTTACGTGGCGTTATTTTAATAACAGATGTATATGCTACAGTCATCTTTTCTGCTACAAAAGAAAGAAGAAAGATAAATATGATAGATCATAGTTTTTGCCAAAAAATTTGAAATTCCGAACGTTCTTAATGAACGATCTTACCACTGCGACGATTAAGATTGTTTTGAATAACAAAATACAAATCAAAATTTATTTTGTTATCAATGTTATGATTTAAATTATTTATGAAGAAATATGTGCATCTCCAATGAACGATGACCATATTCTAACTATAAAAAAAACAAAAATCGATTACACAAAGTTAATTGGAATTACGTGGAATTTTTATCACAAGCGCACATTCTTTATATGATTTATATATATTAACAGTTATGATATGCCCAAAAAATATCGATTAGAAGGGAATAATTTTATTCCCATGATACAGAGAAGGTATGAAAAATTTCATCGCTCTGCGAAATCTTCGAACCACCACTACAGCCATTTTAATACGTTATTAGAAAAACTTTGTAGAGATCAGCAATGGAAAGAACAATAACCACCCTTACAGCCAATTAATTTTAATAAACCTAGACTTGTTAATATAATGACACCCTCTTCCAGAAAACAATTGGTCAAGCGTTAACTTTTTTCTAATAACACGTAGAAGTAATACTTCGCATTTTATTAAAATTCAGTGTTCAAAGTGCCTTTAGAGGTAGTTTTTATTATGAAACTTTGTCAGTAGTTTAGTATTAACATTATCTACAAGATAAAGATTTAGACGAGATGTAAAATTTAGCATTACGTTATTAACGCCAAAAATATTGATTTGCATTTTGTAAATGAAAATCTACCTAGCTGTCGTAGCGCAATATATCGTATAGAAACGAGTAAACTAATTTTCATCATATCATTAAAAAATTCAATTGGTGTAGGATAGTCTGGGAATAATAATAGTCTTGGAAAGTTTATAAAGTAATGATTTTTAAAAATTGTGATCATTTTCAGATTCATAAATGCAAAAATCCTTACCAAATCTCTATTTATCTGAAAGGATTGTAAGAAACTGTAAAAAATGACTTTAAAAAAGTTTATCCATTCAAAATTTTTAAAATGCACATTGCTTGTATTTATACGGACGTTTATGAATATTTTCTCTAGCAATTGATTAACATTTAAGTTTTTAAAAAAAATTAATTTTAAAATTGAAGATTTTATAATACTTACAACTTTCATTTGCATAGCTTGATGAAAGTACATCACTATGGATCGAAGTATTTAGATCTTCTAAATTGAGATCTGGCAAATTTTGATTCAACGCTTTGGCAATTGTATCCAATATACCTCGGTTCTCTATTGAAAAAAAAATTACATGATAAATTAAAAGAATGCATTAAACATAATACCCATAAGCACAGATACATACATAAAAGGCAATCAACATAAAGTAATTTTTTCATTTATCTTTTTGTTACTCGTTATAATAATCAAATTTCTTAAACATGATTGTCATAAAAAAGCTTAAATATACAAGTCATTCTAGTACGAAAAAATAATTCGCTCCATATTTTGCCCGAACACTGCGTTGTTTTTTATTTTTACCACGGAATAATGTCTACATAGTATGAACAAATAGTTTAGTCTCGTGAAATATGTCGAAACATTGTTTATTATTAATTTTAATGCAGAAAAAGTGATAAGTAATTTTTTAAGTTATATTATTAGCTTTTAATTTTCTTTCTAATTATGATATCGAAACGAGGCTGACAAAATTAGATTTCTGATTAAATTTTACATAAGGATCAATATATAATAAAATTCATTAATTTTTTTAATAATACTTTCAAATGATTATATAATTATCAATTTTTGAATGTGTATCGATCTTTTCAAAATTAGTACACCTTTCTGTAGTGAATAATATAAAATTCATCCAATTTTGCCAATATTTAAAATCTTCAGTTGAGGTCTCATTTGAAAAGTCATGGAAATTGCGGACCTCTTTACATCAAACGAACTTCGTAGAGATGAATGCATGATTTTGACCACAAAAAAGACAATTTCAAATTAAATTATATTGTTAAATACTAGGAACAGGGTAAACAAAATAAACTTCTCAATAACTCCTGAACAATAATAATGTTTACTACAATAATCTACCAACGTTTCGAAAGTATAATTAAACTGTTCCTTCAGGATTACGAAAAGCATTTATTATACTGTTAAAAATAGATAAAACGCAGAAAAAACAATGCCAAATTATAAAAAATACCTGTTAGTTAATAAACATTAATACAGTTTAGTCCTATTGTCAAAGTAATCATTATCTGTCAAGTAAAAAGAACAAAAGTCAAAAATCAAACGAAGGCTAAATTATTCAAACACAATAATTATAGTCGTATCCATACTCCTCGTTCAAATTCGGATCGAAAAAATTATGCAAACAGAAGATTGTAACGGCTTTCTATAGCGTGGTCATGATATCTGTCCGTCTATTCAAAACATTAAATTTCTCAGCAAAAATACCAAAGGAAAAAGCCTTTCGTATGAGAAATTAAACTGTAAGGATGTCGAGAGTCAGGAAGTTCGACGAGTGCTACTGTGGATGTGGCAATTACGATCACTTTGCCAAGGCTTATTCGAATCCTGGAAATAAGATTTTTTACAAATGCAACAGGATCGATCACATTGCCTGTGACTGTCAATCAGGTGAGAGTTTAAATAAACCTGCCTATATAACTTTAATAACTTTACTTTTCGTTGTGAAAAACTGTGGATACAATTGGATATTGTAATAATCACATGGGAAGAAAGTTTATGGGTATATAGGTAAAAACACTTTGAGAGGTAGTACTAAACAGTACTAAAGAGCAAAAGTATTTTTAAAAATCGACAAGGGTCTTTCTCTCAGACCAAGAATGAAAATACTGAAGACAGAAATGAAAATAATAACCATAGAGGTGAGTACTCGGAAAAACTAACTCATCTTAATATACATCAACTTAATATAATAATAAGTACAATGTGTTTCAATCTTAGAAATTAATTGTATTGATGCGAATGAAAAAACATTTTTCACTAAAACGGAAAACGTAGGTCTAGATAAATATTTATCAAAGTTTTTATCTAATTCAGGTGCCACTTATCATTTAATAAACTCCAAATTAGTTTCTAAAATTTTTTATGAACCTGATAGAGGTATGATAAAATGCACCAACAAAAAAGATTCAGCTAATTTAAAATCAGAAGGAGCTAGAAGTTTTGAAATTGTTTTGAAAAATGCAAACACGTTAAATATAAATAAAGTTTCAAATGGATAAGATTTCAAATGAATTATTATTTAGACGTATGTACAATAGTCCCTATTAGATTATAGAATTGAATATAAAATTGAATAATCAATATGACAATACGAGATTTAATGAATGTAGAAATAGGCGAGTATTTGTGAATTTGACAGAAATTAATGACACGATAAACTTGCAAAAGAACAAATTGATACTGCTGTTATAAACATAAACACTCATGATAAGTTATTTGAGAGTATAGCAACGAACAAGGAGATAAACGATAACGATTCTAATACGAAAAGTGAATTTTTATAGTAACAGTGTGAACTTTATACCTCATGAAATATCAAACTTTGATATAAAAATTTGGAATTAATAAATCTATAAAATTGAAGATGCCGCAATTATTCAAATAGATAATATAAAGTCACTATTTACAAAACAATATAAGAAATTTCAAAAGAATAATAAAACCAAGTTATGGCATATCCTTTTTGGCCATGCCCACTTGCTTATCTGAAAGCATTGTAAAATACATGTTCCGAGAACAAAAAATTAAGCGTTGGGTCTATTTTATATTGTGAGATGTACTAGTTAGCTTAATTCAAAAGATTGACGTTTAATATATTACGCAACAGAGCCACTGCTGCACTTCAAATTATTCATTCACACTTAATAGGACCTATTTCACCTGCAACTCATTCCATAGGATACACATTGATTTCCATGTTTATTAGCGATTTTTCACAACTGGCCATGGCTTACTATGAAAAATAAAAATGAAATTTGACACGATTTTGATATGTTATAAAGAGTACGCGAAATTTGTTAGGCTATGGTAAAAAAGTATGTTATTTAAGGTCAGATCAAGGCAAAGAATATACAGGTAGATAGATATATATATATTTATATATCATTGAAATTCTTAATAAATTAGTTGTCGAACTCTAACTGGGACAACCTAAAACTCTTCGACATAGAGATGTGAGTGAAAAGTTTAATTTAATATTATAAAATAGATTAAAATCATATATTTTTTATTCTAAATTATCTGAAAATTTTTGGGACTCATAATGAATGCGACCGTTCGATTACGCATATAATCAAACACCGCATAACTCTAACAATATGATCATATCTTTACAAAAATTCGCACCTAATCACTACTTGGATATGAAACAAATTAAAAGGTTTAGAAAGCATCATATTAAAGTACATGGAAAAGTGTGACCTTAATTTCGAGAGGAAGTAAGGAAAGTAATTCTAGTGGGTTGTGTTCCCATTGGATATCAATTCTTAAAGCCAGAAGATGGAAATCTACATGAAAGAAGAAATGTACATTTTATCGAAAAATTAGTATACGTGATAAATATGAAAAGAATTCATTTAAATTCTTACGTCTTGCACTTGAAAAAATTGAAAAAATAAATTGTTTGTTCAGTTCGATTGCGACTAAAAATCATTACGAGGGATTGTTTGAAAGAAAGCAATTGTGCGAAGGTGAGATAGACCAAAGAAAGTAGTAAATGTGCAGAAAGAACAAGAAGACAAAATGAATAAAAATCCTGAACTTAGAGACAAAAAGATCCTGTTGAAATATGAATGTGTTCAAGCTATATCTGAATTTATGCTTATACATGTAAGAATAATTGAATGTGTGTATGAGTATGCTCAGAGATTGGTTGAGATTTGGAATAGTATGTTTATCATACATAGTGTATATGTGTCTCTCTACTGCTCAAATTGGAGCACTGTTATTGTGTAGTCTAGTCAGATTTTCCGTACAGGTGATATCGCATTCTCGAACTATACTTCGTATTCTTTTTATTTATTCGAACCATTCTTTACTTAAATAAAGATCACCTCATTGCACAATATTGACTTGCTCATTAATAAGTGTATTTTCTCTGCTCCAAAAATATATCCTAAAAGATCCTTTCGTCAATAGTTTTTCTGAAATGAATTTAGATGATAAGGTAAGAGTTAATGTCATATTCTGTTGCCCTGTTGAAAGTGAGTTAATGGCAGAAAAACAAAGTGAAACAGGTATAAATATAAAAATAGATAAATCTAATGAGTGTAAAGCTTAAACAAGAAAATTATGTCAACAAAATTTTGGAAAAATTTGGATTTAAACAAATCTGAGACAAAGGTGAGAGAAAAAGATGTTGATGAGGAAATATTGGCTAAAACTCGAAGCCCTGAAAATACTTCATTAAGAGCAGCTGTGAGTACTCTATTTTATTTAGCAGGTTCGACGAGATGCGATACCTCGTACGCTTTTAATGCCCTGAGCAGATATCAAGTTGATCTTGAGGATATTTATCATACAATTTGATAGAGTACTCACAAATAATCATATGATAACCTTAGCTACTAGAGGTGCCGAATATGTAGCTATGAGCGAGGCAAGCATGGAAATGTAGTCAATTTTTAATTCCTTAAGATTCATTTTCAACGATGCGGATAAACTACTTCCAATGACTTTGGTGTGACAATAAAGCTGCTATTGCAAAAGCAGAAACTAACAGTAAAAATAAGAAACGTCATATGTTAGAAGTTACCAAACATTTTTTAAGGAATGTGTTAGGAAGTAGGAAAAGTTTCTCCACATGTGCGCCAAATGGTGTCAGTGACAGCATCGAGTGTGCGTGTGCGACTTGTTACTCGCGCTTACGTAAAAGCAAACAAGCTTTCTCTGTTAGTCCAGTGACAGTGCAGCCTGCCTAATCGGCGCGCAAAAACAAAGTGTTCGCAAGTGCAACGCTATGTACAAAACGAAAGATGTTCAATACGCCGCTAGCCAACGACCAAGAGCAAGTCTTGACTGATCAGCGCTTGAGTGGCTCGATTTTAAATAAAAACGAAGATCTTTTAATTGCTAATCAAATCTATTTTGTCATTATTTTATATACTTATTCCTTCATAGTTTAATTCTATTTTACAAATAAGTATTTTCGAATTTCGGCTTTATTTTATAAAATATTCATAGAAAAATGATGGAAAAGTCGATAGATAAATAAGTTATACGTCTGCTAAAGTAGTGGTTATTGCGTTATAGATGAGTTCTGCATTATTAACTACAAAAAGATGTACTAATTTCAAGAAGATCAATAACATTATTTAAAAATTTGAAAAATTTTACAATGAAGGCCGAGTGTTGTTATTAAACAAAATAAATTAATTATAATAAATTTAATTCTGCCGCAGTATATGAATAGTTTTGAAGGAATGAAATTAATTCAAATAAGTTTAAGACAAAATGTGTCTAAATTGGACATAAAGTTTTAATTAAGTAAATAATATTAAATAATGTTACATTAATATTAAAAATATTTTAAAATAATAATCATGAGGTTTATTAAGATTCTATTGTGAACAAAATTTAGCTATTAAAACTAAATAAATCATCGAAGAAAATGTTATACATAGTAATCAAACTTACATAATTTAATAATGCATAATATGTAATATTTGTGTCTACAAAATAGAAATTGTTTTAAAATCAGTTTTCTTAAATTTAAGACATGTAAATATAACATTTCTATATAAAGTTTGAACTTATAAGTATATATTATTTTCTGATTTCTTACGACAAGAAGAAATCTGATTTTGACATAATTTCTATTTTGTAATTACAAATATTACTTTATGCATTATTGAATAATATAAGTTTGATGGCATTAGACCATACGTATAACATTTTCTTGTACAAAGATTATATTGTAAAACATATATCGATGAAAATTTTATACCCAAGATCTAAAGCTATATCAGAAGAATAATTCAATAATTTAATAGTAGACATTCTTACACTCTCTTCATATTCAAATATTAATTATTGGTACCCAATAGGTTGGCTCTCAAAGTTGGAATAACAATTACTATTTCAATAATTTAATCTTAAGAACATGAAAGAATATTTAGTTATTCAAGTCTTAAAAATAACAGAAGAAAATTATATCCATAAGGACTAAAGCCAAGAAACCTACATAATTTAATAATACACAATGTAATGATTCTGATTAAGAAGTAAAAATAATTTTCAAATTAGATTTTTTAAATTTATGACAACATGTGAATAGAATATTTCTATATAAAGTTTGAACTTACAAGTATAAATATCTGATTTTCTAAGACAATAAGTTTCTCTTTAGAACTAAATAAAGTTATTCCAAGTCAACAATTATTAATCGATGAAAATTTTATACCTAAGATCTAATTAATGAATTAATTTTCATTTAAACATTTTTAAATGATAATCGCAAGCCTTATTAAATTTCTCTTTAGAACTAAATTATTTTATTCCAATTAAACAAATCAGCTGTGAAAGTTTTATACTGAAGGTCTAAAGCCATATCAAAAAAATAATTGAATAATTTAATCATAATAACATTAAATAAGTAATATTTCATTCAC